AGCAGAACACAAAGTGGCACACTAAGTCTTGATACATCAACAATCCTCTTACTTCTAATTTTCTAAATACACCAATTAAAAAACACAGTGGTGTGTGATGTGCACACCTGTAATTCCTACACTCTAGGAGTCGATCCAGAAGATTCACAAATTTGTACCCAGCCTGGACAACTTAGCAAGACCCTCTTTCAAAATGAAAAGTGGAAAACATACTAGGGATATACTGCAAAGGCCCTGGATTCAATACTCATTAACAAATGAATGAATGACACAGAGAGACAACGTGGATTAAAAACATGATCCAATCATATGCTCTCGATAATAAACCAAATTTAAATGTAATGCTATAGGCAGTCTGAATACAAAAGTATGAAAAAGATACAGTATGTGGTTATTACTCAAAAACAAAGAAGGTCTATGTTAATGTCAGATAAAGGTAGACTGCAGATGGAAGGCTCTGGGTATAATCTCCAATACCAAATGAATGAATGAATAAGTGATACACATGGAAAAATGGACAGAGAGAGGGACATTATATATTTGGTGGAATTAATGCATTACAAATTTAAGGGCCAATCCGTTAAGAAAACAGATATCTTGCAAGAGGTGAGGGCACATGCCTCTAATTCCAACTAATTGGGAGGTTGAGGGAGAAGGATTACAAATTTGAGCCCTGCCAGGACAACTTAGTAAGGCTGCTTCAGAATCTGAAAAGGGCTGATACAGCTCTCAGTGGCAAAATGCTTGCCTAGTGTGTGAAGGCCCTGGTTCAACACTCAGCACCACCATAAAAAAGAAAGGGAAGAATGAAGGAAAGAAAGGAGAGAAAAATAACATAGCAATCTTGAATGTGTTTGTACCAAACAATAAAGCTGAAAAATATATGAATCAAACTCAAAACTGAGAAGTGACCAAGAAACATCTACATTTAGAGATGGAAACTCAATGACTCATTGAATAATTCAAAAGAAAATCATAAAATATATTGAAAAATCCAACAATATTCTCAGCTACCAAGTCAAATCAACATTTATAGAACATTCCATCCACTCAAAAGCAAAATACACATTTCTTTCAGAGTCCTCAAAAAATTTAAGTCTCCTCCAATCACAATGGAATAAAAAATAAGTATCAGTGAGAGGAAGATAAGAAAACCTCTAAATAACTGGACATTGAAGATGTCTAAATGATACAAGGATCAAAGAATAAGCATCAAGGGAAAAAGACAGGGTTTCATTATGCAGTTCAGGTTGGCAGTGATCCTCCTGCCTCAGCCTCCTGAGTGCTGATATTCTAGGCTTGAGCCACCACACATGACCACTAAAGGAAAATTTTATAATATACTGAATTGAATAAAAATAAAATTTGGGGCACAAAGCAGTACTGAGAGGGAAATTTATAACAATTACCAATATCAGGAATGAAACTGAGGATATTACTAATACAGGTCCTGAAAACACTGAAAGAATAATAAACACTATGGATATTTTACACACATAAATTTAAAAGAAATGGACCAATTTCTCAAAAAAGCAAACTATCAGCCTGGTGTGGTGGCACGTCTGTAATCCCAGAACTCAGGAGGCTGAGGCAGGAGGATCATTGTGAATTCGAGAACAGCCTGGGTTACAAAGTGAGTTTAAGGCCAGCCTGAACTCACATGAGACCTTGTCTCAAAAAGACAAAAAAAAAAATCCAACTACCACCAGTCATCCAATATAAAATAAATATTTTCAGTAATCCTATACTTACTAAGAGAATTCAATTTATGATTTTTTTTTGTACTGGGGATCAAATTTATAAACTCACACTTGCCAGGAAGGCACTGTGCTGCTGAACTATATTCCAAGTCCCAATTCATGATTTTAAAACTCCCAAAGAAGAGAAACTCTGAGCTGGGGATGTAGCTCAGCAGCATAGGTGCCTGCCTTGCAAGCTCGTGGTCGTGAGTTCAATCCTCAGTACCAGAAAAAATATAAAATAAAACAAAGAAGGAAAACTCCAAGACTAGATAGTCATACTATAGAATTCTACACATTGTAAAAAGAACAACAATTCTACAAAATCTCTTGTAAACAATTAAAAAAAACTGCTAATGTGTCCCAACTAGCTACAAAATTATGTAGCTAATTTTACCCTGACACCAAAACCAGGCAAAGACAGTACAAAAACAAAAAATATCTCTTGGGTAGAGATGTAAAAGCTTTACTAACTTATTAACAAACAAAACTGGGCAATTTATATGGAGAATTATACACTATGACCAGAGTTTATTCCAGGTATGCAGAGATATTACAAAAATCTATCAGTGTAGTTCACTGTATTAACAGGCTACAAAAATACCAAGCTGAGCATGGTGGTGCATGTCTGTAACTCCAGAATTTGGGAAGCTGAGGCAGGAAGACAGTGGAAAGTTTGAGACCAGCGTGGGCCATGAGCGAGTTTAAGACCAGCCTGGACAGCATGGTAAAACCTTGTCTCAAAAAAATCAAAAACAAAACACAACACAACCAGAAAACATATGATCACATCAATTTGATGCAGAAATCATTTGACAAAAATCCTCAATATACATTCAGGATTAAAAAATTAGAATGAGACAAATAGGAATGGACAACAAATTGAATGTTTCCTCCTAACTTCAGAAAAGAAGGGTGTCTCTTCTCACCACTTTTATTCAACAGTGCTGGAATTTCCAGCCAGTGAAAAAAGAAAATAAAACAAGGAAATAAATAAAGTAGACAAACCGGGAAAGTATAAGTAAAGCTGCCCTGAATAGCACATGACATGATGTGACCGTGCATGTAGAAAATTTCAAGGAATCTATGCAAAAAAAAAAACAAAATCAAAAGACTGGAGCTAATAAATGACTTCAGCAAGGTCACAGCGTACAAGAGATCAACATGATGCAGAAATCAAATGTGTCTCTATATTCCAGCAAGGACTGCACAGACACCAAAATTAAAAATAAAATATTACAACTAAAAACAAACCAGCCAGGAGGAGGAGGAGGAGGAGGAGGAGGAGGAGGAGGAGGAGGAGGAGGAGGAACAATGTGTGCATCTAACCAAACTACTTCCTCTTGCTGTACTAGTGCCAGTACTGGGTTTTTCAACCACACCTTACTTTCATTAAGCACCAAGTGATACAAAAGCTGTCTGTGGGGAATGAATCTTGGACTTAGAAATTGAGGGAAATGCAGTATTTATTCTATAATTTAATATAATCCCCTGGCATAGCAAGTATCTTTAGCTGAGGAGTCTCCAGGTGGTTTTTCTTGGCTTAAATTTTTCTGTACTTACCAAATACTTTATTAATTTACTCTTTGATGGAAAGACAGTTGTAAAACAATCCATTTAAATTCTCCATTTAGTAAATAATTATGCAAGAAGAAACTGAGGTTTTTGTATGTTTTATTCAGATCATTGACAAATTGCACCAGAGCACACACACAAACCTGAGCATTAACTCAGAGCCAAGAGCAGGGAGACTTCATTTATAAAGGATGACAGATAATCACGGTATGCAGGAGTCAAAAACCTCAAAAACAGATATTCTACATCCTGCTTCAGTAGTCAGCACTGAGCTGGCTTCTATGTAAAGGCATCTGTGTAAGTTTTAACTGATTTCTGCCCCAGGTTGCACGTGGAGCCTCCAATGCTGAAAGGAAAGCCCTGCAGGACCCCACGAGGTTGGGGGCCGGGTGAGAGCTCTTCTCCTCTGCTTAGAAGCTGGGAAAGGACTGAAGCCTTCCAATGAAGGCCAGAGGGCAGGATCTCTTAATCCTGTCTATGCCAACCGTTAATGTCAGACATCATGTCACATTTTTAACACGTGTAAGAACTGGGGGTGTAGCTCAGTGGTAGAGCACTTGCCTGACACATGTGAGATCCTGGGTTCGACCCCTAGCACAACAAAAATGAAAACAAAAACATTTTAACAAGTGTAGAAAACTAGGCGGGGGTTAGAAATGCTAAGAGATAATACAAATAGGTTTCCTTTTAAATACCCACCCCGAGGTCAAATTAGATGCCATATGCTTCTTATGAAGCTAAATACAAATCCTGGGGTCTAAAAGAATAAAGCACCTTTACAAATTTTTTTTGATACATAAGCATTTCATTTTTGACTGGACTCAGAGTAGAAGCTCTCAGAGAAAAGCCTGCATCTGTTGGCAATTTGTTCCTGGTGTTTTTCTTTAGCTTCCTTCATTCTCTTGGCCAGAAGCTTAGAATATTCTGCAACCTCTTTGTTTTTTTTTAGTATGTGGTTTCTTCAGAGCCATACGGGCAGCATTCACATTGGAGGACACATGGAGTAACAAGACGCTGAGTCTTGGGGGCTTTCATCTTGGGTTTATCTTCTTTGTTTAAGGGCTTTCTGACAGCCTAGTGGCGGACATCATCATCTTCAGAAAGATGGAAATGTTTATGGAGTCTGCTTGCTCTTTTGGGCCCCTGGCACTGAGGCACAGTAGTATCAGTCAATCCAGGAATATCTTTCTCTCATTTTTTACAATAAACAAATTGAGAACCCTCAGATTGGCATCCACAGTGCAACCTGAGACAGATTTACGCTTTCTCTCTCTGGTTCTCCCTGGTCTGTAACAGGAATGCCCCTTGCTCAGTAGCAAGTGGACTTGGCCATGAATCGAGAAGCCCTGCTTCATGGAGAAACCTTGCTTGTCATTCTCACCACTGATTTGGACCCCTGTTCTTCACCCAGAGTCAGCAGCAACTTCTGTGGCCATACGCTTCTCACGGACTGTACGAAGTTTAGGTTCATCACCACCTCAGTGATGGCAGCCACTAGCTGGGAAGGCGATGTTCAATTTCATGTTGAAGCAACTGATCACCCTCCCGGGGCCACAAAAAAGAGCAAGAATAAGCCAGCTTCTTAATGATCGCATAACTCAACTTAATTCCTTTCATTTTAGAGGGGGAAAAAGTGAGTAGGTTAGCATACCACAGTCCACAAACACCACTGTGCACGACACTTACATATCTTGGAGTGTTCATGTGACAACATGTAATTGGCGAGAGGTGCTGTGTATGTCAGACACTGCAGCGCTGCATTGGCAAAGCAGGTGTTGCCCAGGTTCTGAAGCCCAGCGCCAACTCCGTGAGTTTGCTGCCACTTAAGACAAATCTTCTCCGAGGGAAAAAGAACTTTCTGTGGCAGCGCAATGCTGTCACCTGGGAATAGAAAAATACACAACAAAGATTTAAAAACACAACTCCGCATGCTGCTAAAGCCAAATAAATAATGATACTTGATCGACATTATAAATTTCATTATCGCTGCCAGAAACACGCTGCCAGAAAGGGACATTTAACAAGACAGAACCTAGAACAGGAAAAGCTAAGATTTAGTTTCTTCAGTAAATAAATTGCAAACACAAAAGGTGGGAGGGCTTACAAATTATGAGAAATTTCACAGACAGATCCACAAATGCAAAGTGCAGACTCCAATGGATGTCGCTTTCAATGACTGAGTACTGAAAACAAGCTACACAGCCACCCATGACAGTGCATGCCTGTAACCCCAGCTACTCAAGAGGCTGAGGCAGGAGGACTGCTAGCAATTTAGCAAGATCCTGTCTGAAAATAGAAATAGCTCAGCACTTCCTGGGTTCAATCTCTGGTACTCTAGTACTGAAAAAAACACGACAACCAGAGATATCTGAATATTGACTACATTTTTAACATAGACATTTTTAACTTTTAAAAAGAATTCTACACATATACACACTAAAATACTTATAAGTGAAATATGGAATATTGGACTTGCTTTAAAATTCTCTGGATAGGGTCAGTGTGTGATCTGGCTATAAGTTAGTAAATGTCAGAGCTGGCTGACGACTTTGTGAGAGTTCATTACAATTACTTCTTTATAGCTACTTAACCCAACCAATGGAATAGATAAGGTGAGCCAGCCCCTTGAACGTTTGCTTTGGATGCGTGTATTCAGGGCCGCCTCCATCCTTCCCATCGCATAGGCTGGGCCTCCCCTCGTGTCTCGGTTTCAGTCCTGGTGGTTGGTACTGGTGAAGAGACAGCTTACTGCACTAGGAACTTTCAATCACCAGCAGCAAAACTGATTTTCCAAAGATGGCAAGCGTCTTGGTGCTAACAGAGGCAAAGACGGCCTGCAGGTGCTTCTCCACTGAAGAGATATTACTGACTATTTCAGTAATATCTTGAGAGGGAACAAAGAACAAACAGGAAAGGAAAAATGAGTCTGTGGGGAGTAAGACAAGACCAGAGTGAGGAGCGAAAGAGAAGCCCCAGCAATGTGACAGAAGCTGGAGCCCTGCGGAAAGGTGGTCTGTGGGAAAGTCTTTCTTGTTTTGTTCTGTTTTTGTGCCTGTGGGAAAGTCTTGATGGAGAAGCCAAAGGACCTCAAACCTTTATGTGTAACGTAAGTTGTTTTGATCTGTGACATAAGCTTCCCCTCACACACACTCAGAACACCTTCAACAAACCACACCACCCACTCCCACACCACAGTATCAAAGTTACTAAGAGGACGCAAAACAATACCAGGATGGAACTATTCTAAGCTGAACCAAATTCCCATTAGAACTAATTCTAGTATTATCTTTCTTTGCCTTTCAAATCTTCAAGGGTTTAAACACAAGCCTTTCAAGTACCAATTGAAAGTGTTGAGGTTTCACTCATCTGGATAAATTTTAACAAACGTAACTGTGTTTACGTTATCTGCTCTTTTCCAAAGACAGATGCAGTATCTACTTAGGGAACACGATACTACTGGTTAGCTGAAAATATAAAAATTGCTCCTCTCCATTCTCTCTAAGATAGTTTATCCTTCTAAAAATTAGAAATAAAAGAAATTATTCATATTTGGGAACTAAAAAAATAATAGCCTGTTATGCTACATATATTAATAATGAATGCTTACTCATTAAAGGAAAATAATTTGCATCATATAATTCTGGCCACGTGTGTGGAAAGATCTCTTAGAAAATAAGCACCTCTCTGAAACTACCAACCTACTGACAGGATTTATACAGGAGTTTCTGGCAGTGAGCTTTTTAATAGTACCTTGATCCTTTGGTGGTGATGGCTCTGATCTATCAGAGACAGCCGAATCTGAATAAGCAGCCCCGGGCACTGGTCCTAAAGAAAGTGTGTGACTGGAAACATCACTTAGTGAAGACACAGCACTCCAGCCGGCAGAGCCTGCGTCCACGTCTCCAGTGGAGACTGCCTCGGAACGGCCGGGCTGATTCTGACGGGCTGATGGGTCTGAAGAGTCAGCTCTGCCAATTACAGTCATTGTTCACTCTGCTAAAATCAAAAAAACAAAGGAATCTACTCACCCGGCCATTAGATTTTGGAATGCTTTCTAGCCATTTTAACTTATTTTCAAACAAATCACCCGAGTATAAAAACATTAGTATTTGGGGGCAGGCAGTACTTGGAATTAAACAAATGGTCTCACCCATGCCGGCCAAGCACTCTCTCACAAAACCGCATCCTCAGCCCTCTATCTCTTTTTAATAATTTTCTTGGGACATTTAGAATCATGCTAACCTAAAAATATCAATTAATTTCATTTCAAAATCTTTGACAAACTATTCATGCCTTCTAAAAGTATATTTCAGTTTTTGATCAGGCACTTCAATTTCCATTTCCAAAATTTACTCATATTTACTAAGTACTTACTTGCACCTCTCTGTTTAACACTAGAAACTATTACTAATATAATTAAATTTTCAGTTCACATATAATTTCTTAGGAAACTGTCTTGACTATGTGAAAACAAAAATTAGTTTTGATTTTTAAGTTAAAGTTCAAAATGAGAACTTAAAAGGAAAAATATCACTTCCTAATGTAAATAATGGAAATCTCTTCCTGAACAAACAAGAATGCATGCTCTCTTGAACAATGAAAAAATACAATACTGGAAGTCTGCCACCGACACATCACCATCAAACCAAGCTATTTCTGCCTGAAAGGAGACAAAATTATCTTTATTTGCATGTTATACATCTATCTATGAAAAAGAGAACATGAGCACATACTATCAGGATCCAATTATAAAAACCAATGAAAATAATCTTAATCATAGGTGCAGAGAGAGGAGGCAAAACCAGAGTGAGGGGAGGAGGTATCATGGTCGGAACTGTGTAATGGGAGCGAGAACTGTGTCCTCATTCAGGATCACATCAACTGGGTCAGATCCTCAGAGAATAAAGTCTTTAGGATGGGTCCTAATCCAATGACGGCGTCTCCGAGGGAAAGGGAGTCTGGATGCATGACCAGAGGGACAAGTCCATGTGAAAGTCCAGGAAGGAATCAAGGTGAGGCATTGACAAGCCTGGATGTGTCAGCAGTGTTTTATATGCTCTGTATTTTATGTAGTTTAGACATTTTAGGCAGTGTGTTGGCCTGAGAAAAATTCCCTCTCTTATGTATAATTGCTTTTTCTGGATACTAAAGGGCCACTCCAAACACATGAGTTTCCTATAAAAACCAACCAACCCAGGATCTGATCTCAACCATTTACTTATCTAGATATTTCCCTAATATTTCCCCTGCCTAAACCACGCAGGCCCAAATACAAACATCTAGAGATGTCCCAACAACCAAAGCCCAATAAAAATTATCTCAATCTGCCATTTGTAGCTGTCTACTCTGGTCTGGCTTGCTTTTCCTCCAAAACTCCATAAAGGCGGATTCGGTTTCCCCCACATTGTGATCTTCTGCCAGGTGACCCACACCAGATGCATCCGCTTGGTTCCACTGGCCTGGGCAACCTCCTGTGTGAGACCTGGTGTTACATGAATGTCTTCCTCCTGGTGCTCATTCTTGTCCCATCTCTGGAACACAAACCCCTTATCATCCTGTGTCTAAGATTACACTCTCAGAACACTGCAGATTTCACAGACTAGGCTGTGAGAAAACGGTGCTAAGCCAAGTGCCTCACTCACCTGAAGGAGCTGGTGACAAAATCTGCACCCTCAGGAGACACCCACAAGCAGGGAGATTCAAGGGGTGAAGGCCGAGCAGGGTCAGAGAACCTCTGACCTAGGATGGACGTTGGTCAGAGGTATCAACTTCCTAGGAGCAAAAATGAAAGCTTGTCATTAGGAAAGGATGGTTATGCCAGCTCGCATGACTGCTTCCCAGGCATCGCTCCTCAATGTGTAGACATGCCATTTACTATTCCCCACAGAACCGTGGAGTCATGTCCATGGAAGTCAGTAAGACTTCCATTCTACAAGTTTGCTCAAAATCCAACAACTAGTGTCTTTATACACATTCTTTGCAGGGCTGGAAGGATTTTCTAGGCAAATGCTCCACCCTTACTCATGGCAAAGGGGCAGGGTACAGTTTTGAGTGGTAGAGCCTCTGCATTGCTGTGGCAAGAGTGCTGGACAATTGTGGGTCTAACTTACTTCAGTGGCCAAAAGACGGAAAGTCAGTGATGACAGACAATTGGTTCTGCTGACTTCAGGTAAGAACTATGGTTGGTTTAGGGAAGGACACTTGGAACTGTAAGGATGACCCATGGTTATTTATGTACATACTTTTTCTAGAAACACTCAACCTTCCATTCACCTAGGGATTCTCTGCCCATCAGGGAGACAACAAAGGTGTTTGTGCCACAGACTGCCTGCCCTCAGTGAGCTTTCAAGCTGCTTATGGAAAGCAGGTGACCAATAAGCGATAGCTGTGAAGGGAGAGAAGGTGGGAACAGTGGATGGTGCAGGTGGAGGATGGGAGAGTGCATGTTACTTTCTGTATTTTATGATGTTTGGATGCCTAAAAAATCTCACTGGCCTGAAGGCACACCCTTGCCAGCACTAGCCATCTTTCCAAGCACAGTAAATTCTGCCTGAGACATGTCCTCCCGGTAGGAACACAGCTTTCCTGAGTCTTGCTTTCACTAACATTTCCCGGGCTCTAAACCATTTGAGGCCTGCTGCTGCCATCTAGTGACCTCCCCAACAATGAAGCCAATGAAATTATTTCAGTTTACTGGGGTTTTTCCAGCTTTTTTGTTTGTTTGTTTTTGAGACAGGGTCTCGCTATGCAGTTCAGGTTGGCATTAAGTTCACTTTATAGCCCAAGCTGGTCTCAAAATTTCAGTGATCTTCCTGCCTCAGCCTCCTAAGAGCTGGGCACTTTGCCACTTCGTTTGGCCTGCTGTACCTTCCAGCACCCCAGTAAAGGCCCTGCCTTGGCCTCTCCATTGTTGTCTTCTGCCACGTGAACTACCCCAGATGGTTGCCCTGGGTTCTCCCCAGCATGGGCAACCTCATCTCTCAGGCCTGCAAGTATATAAATGTCTTCCCTCTGAGCCTCATTCTTGTCCCCCGCTAGGCCTGCAAACTCTTCCTCATTCTGTCTCCACTGCAGGGTTCATGGACTGGTGCGGTGAGAAAACAGGGCAAAGGAAAGCCAAGTGTCTCCCTCACTTTAAAAGTTGACTACAAAATACGTACCCCTAATTAGAAGGCTCTTCACCAAACAGGTACTCAAGGGGAGAAGGCCCGTAGAGGCCCTGCCCAGCAGGGTCAGAGACTCTCTGACCTAGGGATGGATGTCGGTCAGTGGTACTGGCAGCAATCAGCCTCCTAGCAGCCAAAATGAGGGATGGTCATTAGGAAAGGATGGTTATGCCATCTAACCCAGGAGTGATGACTGATTCCCAGGCCTCTCTCCTCAGGGTTTCAGACATGTCACTTACAAATATGCACAGAATTGTGGAGTAGACTCCAAAACTACTTTCATTATATAAGACAGATGTAAATAGCATTGCTCATAATTCAGCAATCAGTAGTCACCGGTGGTGCATGGCTGTAATCCCAGCACTTGGGACGATGAGATTAGAAAGTCAATGCAAACTCCAGAGCAGCTTGAGCTACAAAGTGAGCTCAAGGCCAGCATGAACTGCACAGCAAAACACTGTCTCAAGAAGACAAAAAAATCAGTATCCACAAAAATGTTCCTCACTGGGCTGTATGTGGTTGTAGGATTTCCTAGACAAATGAGAGTCCATCCCGAGTGATGGTGTAGGTCAGGGCTGCAGGAACCCCAGGGTACTTGCGGAGGGTGCTCTAGGATGTGGGCCCAACTCACCTCAGTAGAGGAGAAATGGAAAGTCGTCAGTGACAGAAAGCTGGTTCTATGCTCTCAGGCAAGAAACAAGGGTGGTCCGAGGGATGTTACTCCAATCTGTAAAGATGACCCCACACGACCTTCAGTCATCTATGGCTACTGTGTCTTTAAAACACTTTCCCTTTCAGCCACCTGGGGTTGTCTCTGCCCTTCAGGGAGATACCAACGTGTTTCTGCTAAAGAGTCCCTGCCCTCAGTGAGCTTTCAAGCTACCTATAAAATTGGGCTAAGAAATCAGTGATATCCTTGAAGGAGAAGATGAGGGAGACAATGGAAAGGTGCTGGGGTGCAGGGCGGCTGAATGCTTTTTACTTTTTCAGAGTCTCAAAGAGCTCACTGGCCCGGGAGTCACTGCCTTCCAGCCATAGCCATTTCTTCTAAGCAACAAAAATCCCACCACAGGCTGGCATTTCCTCCATAAACCACCCTGTCCTGAGCCCATACTCCAGGATCTTCCTTACCTAACTCTCTCCCACAGGCTATCTCCCCAATATTTCCCCCTCTACACCATCCAGGGTATAGTGCCCCCATCTAGCAACTTCCCCAACCAAAGTCCAGTGGAATTAACCCAACTTGCCATTTCTAAACTGCAACTCAGTGGCTCTGGTTAGCCTCCCCCTTCACTCTCATTTGCTGCCCTGTGTCCCACCAGATGCTTCCTTTAGTTCTACCAGGCATGGGCAACCTCCTCTCTGAGACCTGGAGGTTCTTAATGTCTTCCGTCCAAGCCTCATCCCTGTCCCCTCCTAGGCCTGTGAACTGTTTCTCTTCTCATCTCTAACATCCGCTGCAGCTTTCACGGACCGGTGTGGTGAGAAAACAGGCCAGAAGGAAAGCCAAGTGTCTCACTCACCTTAAGGAGCTGATGACAAAAACTACACCCTCACAAGGACTCCACAAACAGGGAAATTCAGGGCTGAAGGCCCTGAGGGGCCCTGCACAGCTGGGTCAGAGATCCTCTGACCTAGGATGGAGGTTGGTCAGTGGCACTGGCAGGAATCAGCCTCCTAGGAGCAAAGGTGAGGGATGATCATTAAGAAAGGATATTTATGCTGGATAACACTGGACAGAGGAAAGTGTCCCAGGCATCTCTCTCCTCAGTGTTTTAAATCTGCCTTCTGCTATTCTCCACAGGGCTATGGAGATATG